TAGTTGAGGTAGCAACTAGACAGTGAAATATGAACAGTTTGATATGCAGATCTAGAATTGGCAGATATCTGTTAGCTATATTAAAGCCTTGAGTGAACAAGAACATGTAGTAAGGCGAGAAGATCTAAGACGAAGCCCTGGGGCACTCTTAATGAGGATGGTGAGGTAGAAATGAGCAGCAAACAAAAAAACATGGTGTCCTTGAAACTGAGTGAAGAGTGTTTAAGGAAAAAATGAGGGATTGTGTCAACTGCTGCAGCTCTTTGTGTAAAGTGGGGACTAAGGACTAATCTTTGGATGACAGAGATGTGACAAGTTTCTAGGAGATAAGAGAAAATATATACATAATTGGTACAAGGACAATTGGGAAAAAAGGAAGTGGAAATAGTATAGACAACTCTTTAAGGGGTTTAGTTATAAGAAAGGACAGGGAAATGTGGTGGTAGCTGGGAGATGAATTTTTTTAAATGATGGAGATCTTAGATCAATTTTGTATTCTGATGGCATGATCCAGTAAGTAGAAGACACGAAATGCTAGAAATGGGGCAATTACTGGAGTGATATCCTTGAGGGCAAGAAAAGATGAGATCTAGTGCATAAGCAGAGAAAATGAACTAGGATAGGAGCAAAGATAGCTCTTTCACAGTACCAAAGTGACAGCAGAATATACAGGTCCATGTGCTGCTAGGCTGGTAGATGTGATGGGAGCATGTTGACATTCTTTCCTGACTGCTTCTGTTTTCTCAGTGACAGAATGCATTATTGTTATCCACAGATAGTTAGGACAGGGATGGGAGATATTGCAAGGACACTAGATGTTTGACTTCATTAAATTTAGCTTATAAACTGTAAATAGGAGGCAAATAAATAAATTTCAGTTTTGTACAAGGAAACAAAAAAAGGTATAGTGACAGAGAATAAAAGGATTAAATTCACTTAAATCATGAGATAAAAGTTCCATTATCTTTTAAGGAGTATTGAAAAGCTTGAAAGTTATATATATAAAAGGAATATAACAAACATTTGTGTCCCTAACAACTGGAATTAAAAGATGTTAATAATGCTGCATTTGCTTCAAGCTTTTTTTAAGTTAAGAGAAATAACAGTTTGGTAAATATTAAGTACTCATTAATTAATATGTATTTAATGAATGATTACATTCTATAAATGTTAAGGAACACCCAGGTTATCCTGCAAGAGGCAGTAAAAACTTATATAACTTTGAACTCAAAATTTAGACTTGGAATAAATTTTAGTGGCAGTCTAATTTGTTTACCTGAATCTCCTATATGACATAAACAGCTGTTTTTTTAAAGATTTATTTACTTATTTGAAAAGAGAGGGAGGCAGAGAGATTTTCCATCTGCTGGTTCATTCCCCAAATGGCCACAACAGCTAGGGCTGGGGTAGGCTGAAACCAGAAGTCAGAAACTCCATCCTGATCTTTCATATGGATGGCAGGGGCCCAAATATTTGGGGCATCTTCTGAGGCCTTCCCAGGCACAATAGCAGATCAGAAGTGGAGTAGCCACAACTCAAACTAGTGTTCTGATATGGGATGCAATTGTTGCAGCTGGCAGCTAAACCCCTCTGCACCACAATGCCAGCCCCATAGCTGACTATTTTTTAAAATTCACTACTGACAGGAATCACTGCCTCTAGAAGAGTCTATCTATTTCGGATAGTTGTTAGAGTAATATTCTTCATGTTGAGATACTTTAGTTTGCCTTTTTGTTTTTCTATTCACAGATCTTAGTTCTCTTCTTTATAGTCATAAAAGATAAATGAAATATTCTGTGATTTTTAAAATATTTGAAAACATCTAGCAAGCTTCCTGAAACTTTTCATTATATCCTAATCCCTTGTATTATTCCAGATGACATTTTTCTTTTGTGACCTTCCTCTATTCATGTTGCTGTCCTCTGGATATTCAGTTGTTTGCTTGTGTTCGTCTTCAAGTGTGACATTCCAAAGTCAATGCCATGCTTTAGGTGTAATGTGATTATTACCTCCTCTTTTCTGCAGTCTAAGTCTAAACTTTTGTGTAAGTCCCATCATACAACTGAATTTACAGCTTCTAAAACTTTTCAGTCTTTTGCACATATGCTATTTTTTTTTTTTTTTTTTTTGGACAGGTAGAGTGGACAGTGAGAGAGAGAGACAGAGAGAAAGGCCTTCCTTTGCCGTTGGTTCATCCTCCAATGGCCGCCGCGGCCGGCGTGCTGCGGCCAGCGCACTGCGATGATCCGATGGCAGGAGCCAGGTACTTATCCTGGTCTCCCATGGGGTGCAGGGCCCAAATACTTGGGCCATCCTCCACTGCACTCCCTGGCCATAGCAGAGAGCTGGCCTGGAAGAGGGGCAACCGGGACAGAACCCGGCACCCCGACTGGGACTAGAACCCGGTGTGCCAGCACCGCAAGGCGGAGGATTAGCCTAGTGAGCCGCGGCGCTGGCTGCACATATGCTATTAAATCACATCATTCTCTCTGGCTCTTTCATAATCTAGTGCCAGCAGCTGAGGTAATTCTGGGTCCAAAAGCACACATTAATATTGTTGTATTAAAATGTTAGTCATAGTATCTTGAGAGTGGACAGGCTGTCTGCCATTAGATAAGCCACTGCCATTCCTCTGCCCTCTTGCTTTTGGTATACAATCCATCTTAGCTGACTGTTCCACGATGCTTGAAACATTTATTTATCTATAAGATTTATTTATTTACTTGAGGAGCAAAGTTATATAAAGAGGGAGAGACAGAGAGAGAGGTCTTCCATCCACTGGTTCACTCCCCAAATGGCCGCAAAAGCTGGCTGATCTGAAACCAGGAGTTTCTTCTGGGTCTCCCACACAGGTGCAGGGGCTCAAAAGCACTTGGGCCATCTTCTAGTTCTTTCCCAGGCCAACAGTAGGGAGCCAGATTGGAAGAGCAGCAGCTGGGACTGGAAACTGGTTCCCATATGGGATGCCAGTGCAGCAGGCTGATGCTTAACCTACTATGCCACAGCACCTGCCCCTTGAAACAGTTGTTTTTTTTTTTTTTTTTTTAAATTAGAGTGTTTGAATATGGCTCACCATCATATCCAAGGACAATAGCAGGTATACAAATTATTCACTCCTTTCCTGAGGAAATGGTGACCAAAAATATATACATTACAGAACTCTTTCAATTCCTTGTAATTGTAATGAATCCCGTTTAAATACTTCAGTGAGAGCCCATTAATTTGGGTGGGGCTTATACAACCAACTTTTCATCTTTTTCTGTCGAATTTAATCTTGTAAACATTCAGTCGATTGTAGTTGCTGTCTTTTTTTTTTAATGGTGTTTTGAATTTTGTTTAAGATTTATTTTATTTATTTGAAAGGCAGAGTGACAGAGAGAGAGAGAGAGAAAGAAAGAGAGAAAGAGAGAAAGAGAGAGAGAGAGAGAGACCGACCTTCCATCTGCTGGTTCACTCCCCAAATGGCTACAACTGCTGGGGCTGGGCCACGCCTGAGCCTGGAACTTCTTCCAGATCTCCCACATGGGTGGCAGGGGCCCAAGTACTAGCGTCACCTTCTGCTGTTTTCCCAGGGGTGTTAACAGCAAGTTAGATAGGAAGTGGAGCAGTAAGGATTTAAACTTGAACTCCAGTAAGGGATATGGTGTCACAGGCATGGCTTGAGCTGCTACATCACAACACTGGCCCATTGCATAGTCAGAAAGTTATTGCTTAATTCTTGTAGTGGCCCCAACAATAATCCTCCTAATTAACAAATATGCATATTTGCTCTCTTCATGTTGTTAGTAAATACAATAAATAAGGTTAGTTATGGGCAGCATTCTGTAACATACCACTGAAGTCTTCCCTCAGTCAAATTCAGGTTTGACAGTAATCCATTCACTGGTTCTTCTGAACCATAGTTACTTAACTAGATAGGATTTCATTTAATTAGAGCATTATTTAACTCACAATTACCAACATTTCTGAATTAGTACTAGAGCTTACAGTGATTAATGCTTTCCATTTAATTTTTCACTCTAGAATTTTTCTTTAATTTGAAACATTAGCTTTCTTTATGTAAAACCAGAACACTTGATAAAATAACATAACAAAATTGTTAATGTTCTGCTGTTTTTTTCTTGATAAAATTTGGAATTAAGTACATTTACTTAATGTATTTCATGTGAAAAGAGGTATGGTTTTTAAACATTTAAATTACATTGATTTCATGCTGCTGATACTTTAATCTTGGGAACTTGAAATTTCACATACTTCAGTGAAAATTATTATTGAACTCCAATATTATTGCCACCCTTAAGATATTTTGGCGGCCGGCGCCGCGGCTCACTAGGCTAATCCTCCGCCTAGCGGCGCCGGCACACCGGGTTCTAGTCCCGGTCAGGGCGCCGGATTCTGTCCCGGTTGCCCCTCTTCCAGGCCAGCTCTCTGCTGTGGCCAGGGAGTGCAGTGGAGGATGGCCCAGGTGCTTGGGCCCTGCACCCCATGGGAGACCAGGAAAAGCACCTGGCTCCTGGCTCCTGCCATCGGATCAGCGCGGCGCGCCGGCCGCAGCGCGCTGGCCGCGGCGGCCATTGGAGGGTGAACCAACGGCAAAAAGGAAGACCTTTCTCTCTGTCTCTCTCTCTCACTGTCCACTCTGCCTGTCAAAAAAAAAAAAAAAAAGATATTTTGGCATAATCATATGACCTGTTCCAATATATTAGTAATTGTTCAGATAGGAGAAACACATTAAAATCAAAATACTTACTATAGAAGTAGGCTGCTCTGAAAAGCACCAATGATAATTTTTAATTATTGTATTACAGAATTCAAACAGCAACATGGTAATGTACACACTGTATTCACAGTAATGATCAGGTTAATGGTCTACCCTTACGTATACCAAAAAACAAAACAAAACAGAAACCAAGATCCAAAACTTAGACACATGTTAAAAAGAAAAGTTAGATAAACAGAATGCAAAGATTACATATATATAAGTACTTAAGAATCCTTACCTCCTCACAGCATCGCCTGCTTACAATAGCCCTATAGTCAATTCTATCCCAGAGCTGGTCCCTTAACTTTAAGAAATTTGGGAACAATTTTCTCCAGTTTTTCCCTAAAGCCCAGGGAAAAATTTCATACTTGGACTCTTCTTCATCTTCTTCAACTGTGTTAGCCAGGTACCTAATAAAGAAGACCAACAACTCAAAAAAGAAATGGGTAAAAGGACAGGCAAAAGTAGTTAACCAAAAATAAATGAACACATTAAAGACGTTCAACCATACTCGTAATTAAAGGAATGCAGATTAAAAATATATAAGTTTTACAAATACTGAATTTTGTTCTAGAATGAAGTTACCTGGAAACAGTCTGATCTTTCAGGTATCACTTTCACGATTTGTTAGGTGATCTGGAGCAATGTTCAGTCTGGAACTAATTATTCCTCACTACTAAGGCAAGACCTTTCTGAGTACTCTTCTTAACACCCCATGAATTATAAGTTTTCACAGTCTGGCTGGTGGGAATAGGCTTACTTCTAGTCCTTTATGAATGTAGGCCCTGTTCTTCCTAGTCTTTTCTTATCATCTTCCCACACACTTGAGTAGTTTCCTTATACACTTCTGGAAATCGGAATTCTGTTGAATATTTGAGGAGAACCAGGCATGCAAGGAAGCAAGAAAATACAACTGATAATAATAAGTATAATCACTCAAGCTAAACCAATTCAAAAGTGACACACATGGTAGACATAGCAAAGACATCAAAACAGTTATAACTGGACCAGCGCCATGGCGCACTAGGTTAATCCTGTGCCTGCGGGGCCGGCATCCCATATGGGTGCCGGTTCTAGTCCCGGTTGCTCCTTTTCCAGTCCAGCTCTCTGCTGTGGCCCGGGAAGGCAGTGGAGGATGGCCCAAATGCTTGGACCCCTGCATCCGCATGAGCTTATGGCCATTGTGGCCATCTGGGGAGTGAAGCAACAGAAGGAAGTCCTTCCTCTGTCTCTCTCTCTCACTGTCTGTAACTCTACCTGTCAAATAAATAAATAAAATCTTTAAAAAAAAAAGTTTTAACTATCCCATAAGCTCAAAAAGTACACACATTGAAGATACACCTGTAGAGACAAACACAATATGTACAATGAAAAATACAGACTAGAATTAATGATAGATTGAATATTGTATATTGTGAATTATAGACAGCAATAAAAACTATCCAAAATGAAAACATACAGAGGAAAAAAAAGACACAAAAATCACAAACAGCATCATTTAGCTATGGAATAACTTCAAAAAACCCAGTAAGGGTAAAATTGGAGTCTCTAAAAGGCAGCAGGCAGATAGAAAAATATTTGAAGAAACAATGGTTGAAAATTTTTCAAAACTTAATGAAAATTATACACCCACAAAAAGCTCAATGAAATCCAAAGCACAACAAAGATGAGGAAAATTACACTAAGATACATCACAGTCAAATTGCTCAAAACTAATAATAGAGAAAAATCTTAAAAGTACTCAGGGAAAAAAAGGTAACACAGGAACAAAGATAATGATGGAGCAGATTTCCCATGAGAAATAATGCAAGCCAGGGCTGGTATTGTGGCATAGTTGTAATGCTGCTGTCTGGATGCCAGTATCCCATATGGGTGCCAGTCCAAGTCCTGGCCACTCCACCTTTGATTCAGCTCCCTGCTAATGGTCTGGGAAAAGCAGAGGAAGAGGGTCCAAGTGTTTGGGTCCCTGCCACCCATGTGGGAGACCCAGATGAAGCTCCTGGCTTCAGCCTCGCCCAGCCCTGCCCACTGTGGCCATCTCGAGAATGAATCAGTGGATGGAAGATCTCTCTCTTTCCATCTCTCTCTCTCTAACCTTGAGTTTCAAATAAATAAATAAAATTAAAAAGAAAGAGGGGGGAGAGCAAGAGAGAGAGGAGGAGAGAGAATGTAAGCCCCATAGATGCCTTTCCAAGAAAAATGGAAAACTTACAATAAAAACATTACAAAACACATAAAGGAACAAAGCACTATGAACAGAAACAGATCCTAAAGTCTTAAGATATTGCAATCAATATATCAGAATGTCTAATATGGTAAAAAAAAAAAAAATCTTGTAAGTACCTTGATAACATATAGGCATAAGTACACTTGAAAAATAAGAAAATAGAACACCTATAAATGAACATATAATTAAATTAATTAGCATACTAGACATAGCTGAAGATTAGTGAACCAAAAGATAAATCGAGAGCCTTGTTTGAGTGCTGACTACTCGGCACTTTTGATCCTGCTAAATGTGTCGAGGAAGCAGCAGATGATGGCCCAAGTACTTGGGTTCCTGCCATTCGTGTAGGAGACAAATGGAGCTCCTGGTTCCTGGCTTTTGTCTAGCCCAGCTCCAGCTTTTGCAGGCATTTGGAAAGTAAACCAGCTAATGCAAGATCTGTCTCTGCCTTTCAAATACATACATACATACATACATACAACTCAATCTATTAAAAATATAGCCCAGAGAAACAAAGATAGGAAATGTTAAAGTGAAATAGAACATGGATTGAGTTATAACATGTTTAATTGGTTTCAAAAGGAGGAGATGGGGGAGAGGAATATTTGAAGATACAGTGATCAAAATTTTCTAAGAATTGCTTCAGCTTTTGAACAACTCATCAATCTTCATATTCAGGAAGCTCATCAAATCCCAAGCAGGTTATATAAAGGAAACCAGTGCCAAATACCAAAGAAAGAGGTTTATTATGTTTAAAATTTTTTAAATATTTTTATTTATTGGAGAGGAAATGGGAGTGAAGAGGGAGAGAGCACACACACCACACTGAAGCCAGGAGCTGGGAGTACAATCCAAATCTCTTCCATGGGATGCAGGAACCTGACTACATGAGCCATCGCCTGCTGCCTCCCAGAGTCTACATTAGGAGGAAGCTAGAATTGGGTATGGAGGTGGGAGTTGAACCCAGGCATTTTGATAGGGGATACAGGCATTCCAAGTGGTCCCAGTAAGTTTTAAAAACAGTCAGAAATGAAAGTAAATAATCCCAAGTGGATTCTTGAAGTGCAAGAATAAATAGTAAGCAAAGATATAAATATGTGGGCAAATTTGAGCAAATTTTGAAATGTATAAAAAATGTCTAATTTGTAGGAGGGCGACAGGCAGAACTATAGAACTACAAAACAAGACTATTAGGTAGCAGGGGATTAGAGTTAAAATGACTCAGTTTGGGTGGATGTTTAGCCTGGCTGGAAAAACTGCTGTTATGAGGCACATATCCAATACTTGAATAACCTGGTTTTGACACTCACCTCTGGCTCCTGATTCCACCTTTCTGCTTGCTAAAACAGACTATGAAAGGCAGTGGAGATGAGTCAGGTAACTGGGTTCCTGACATCCACACTGGAGATCTAGATTGAGTTCCTGGCTTTGGCCTGGCCCAGCCTTGGGTAGGCATTTGAGGAGTGAACCAGCATATGAGCATAAGGAGGGAGTGAGCTAGCTAGCTAGTTCTCTCTCTCTCTCAAAAAAAAAAAAAAAAAAAAAAAAAAAAGAGAGAGAGAGAAATATACAATGCACTACAATAGACTAAAATGCTATACCAGAGCTACATCATGAGTCTGTTTTTCAGGCTCAGCTCAATTAGACAAAATATATTTATCATATACATGGAAGTTGTTCTCTATTTAAATTTTTTTATTTATTTAAATTTAAAATCTATTTGAAAGTCAACAAACTACAATTAAGTGAATAATAGTTTAATTTAATTTATGGATCAATGGCTGAATTTTGCATTGGTAAAGAGCATTTGAATTTCCATCCCAGCTCCACTGCTTACTAGCTTTTGTAATCATGGAAAGTACTTAATCATCCTAAGTTTCAGTTTCCTTATTTATAAAGTGGAGATAATAAAAAAATGTATTTCATAGGGAAGATTAAACAAGTTAACACATAAAAAAATTGTGGTGTCTTCCACATAATATTCAGTATTAGCTAATACTATTATATTCTTCCAATTTAGTAATTATCACCAAATTTTAAATTTTCATTTTCCCTATGTATTGGAAAATGTATCTCTTTAATACATGTGGAGATCAGTTACTTCTATTCTTATTTCTTTAATAACTTTTTGAATCTGAATTAAATAAAAAAATGAGTAAATATTTATTCTTAAGGGCTAACATCTATTATGGTATTCAATTTTTAAATATTTGTATAGGTAGTTCCAAGTTAAATATTTAAAATTATATTCAGGAGCCGAAGCTGTGGGGTAGCGGGTAAAGCCGCCGCTTGCAGTGCCAGCATCCCACATGGGTACTGGTTCGAGTCCTGGCAGCTTCACTTCCAATCCAGCTCTCTACTATGGCTGGGAAAGCAGTAGATGATGACGCAAGTCCTTGGGCCCCTGCACTCACATGGGAGACCTGGAAGAAGCTCCAGGCTCCTGGCTTCGGATCAGCCCAGTTCCGGCTGTTGTGGCCATTTGGGGAGTGAACCAGGGAATTGGAGACTTCACTTTTTCTGCTTCTGCCTCTCTGTACCTCTTTGAAGTAAATAAATAAACCTTTAAAATAATTAATGAATTAAATTAGATTCATATACTGCCATCTATAGCATTATATCCAGGTATAGGGTGGAAAAGGAAATGCATTTAATTACATTGATTCCAGCTGAACTGAGCTATATAATGGAAAATCATGTCATTGAAACCATTTAACAGATTACAAAGCTCATATGAACTATCTGAGGTCTGTGAAAAAACTAGAAAACAATTTCCTTTGTCATGTTCAGGCATTCCAAGTGGTCACTAAAACAGTCAGTGGATGCTAAAGGTATCAAATATAAATAACTCCTAAGTTATAGACATAGCTCCACAAACAGTATATGTAGAATATTTTCCACAAGCTAGTCGATGTAAAAGGGCAATAATGATGATATAGTTCCTTTACCAACTGGAAATTTCAGAGAATATTTTAGCATTAAAAATATCTAAGTCAAAAAGGAGAGAATTTGAGATAATTTATATGGAAGCACTCTGAAAAATGTAAAAGGAACAATAAATATTAGGTAGGTAGTGCAATAAGTTCAGTGAAAAGAAAATAAAAATATCCTATTAAGGTAAAAATGAATAGCTTTTATACAAGAAGACCTATTCAAAAATATATATAAAGTTTTAAACAGCCTATGTTTTAGTGATACAGCATATGTATTATAAATAACTAATGCAAAAATCACTTGGTGATTAGATACTTACAAAGCAATAAAGAAATTTATCCTGGTATGTTCATTTATAGCAAATTTAGCCCTCTTGAAATAAACAAAGGTCATAGCCAAAAGATACTATAAAGAAAAAAGTTAAAAATTAACACTTTGCTTTCATACACTGCTTTAAAATAGCTTTCAAAATTTCTCATAAGCTATAACAATATGTATCCTTACTAAGAATTACCTATTTTAATATTTTTTGCTTTATCTAACCAATACATTTGAGCACTGAGAAATAGTTCTTGACCATTTATGATTAATTTCAGAAATTATTATTATAGCTAATATTTTTAAATACCAGTTTTTCAAACTTAAATTTCAAACCTATAGACATTGAAAAAACATACATCCTTTACTGAGGTTCACCAGTTAATATTTTGCCACACTTGCTTGACATTTCTATTTGTATGAATGTATATCTAATTTGTTTCTGAACCCTTTGAGTTTCTTATAGAAACCATCCTCTACTTTTTAAAACAACCTTTATGAATGATTTTTAGGGGCCCATGTTGTAGTGCAGCAGGTTAAACCGCTGCTTCCAACACCGGTATCCCACACCAGTTTGAGTCCTGGCTGCTCTACTTCTGCTCCAGCTCCCTGCCAATGCATGTGGGAAAGTAGCAGATGGCCCATGTGTTTGGGCCCCTGACACCAATGTGGGCAACACAGAGGGAGTTCTGGGCTCCTAGCCTCAAACTAAATGCAATTAAATGACTTCTAAATAAACTATCTTTAGATATAAAAATAACATGGTTCTATTTCTGGGTGGAGTTCCAGACTCCTAGCTTTGGCCTGGCTAAGTCTTGGCTGTTGTGTCCACTTAGGGAGTGAACTAGTAGATGGACAATCTCTTTGTAACTCTGCCTTTCAAATAAAATAAATCTTTTTTTTTTTTTTTTTTTTTTTTTTTGACAGGCAGAGTTAGAGAGACAGACAGAGAGAAAGGTCTTTCTTCCGTTGGTTCCCCCCTCAAAATGGCCGCTATGGCCGGCGTGCTGCACCGTTCCGAAGCCAGGAACCAGGTGCTTCCTCCTGGTCTCCCATGCGGGTGCAGGGCCCAAGCACTTGAGCCATCCTCCACTGCCTTCCTGGGCCACAGCAGAGAGCTGGACTGGAGAGGAACAACTGGGACAGAATCTGGCGCCCCAACCGGGACTAGAACCCCGGGGTGCCGGTGATAGAGGCGGAGGATTAGCCAAGTGAGCCACGGCGCCGGCCAAATAAAATAAATCTTAAAAAAAAAAAAAAAGATACATGCCTAGATAATATTAGAGCATATAACAGATTCTAGTAAATAAGCATAGTATTCTAACACATTTATCCTATTATCAAAGGATTGATCACAAACGTGATTCCAAGTTTTCAGGGTAACGTCCAGTATAAAGAACTGTTGAAATGATAACAAATTCCTGGTTAGTTTCTTTTCTAACACTGCCCCCTGCTGTACAACAATTTTAATCCACTTAAAACTGGACATCTTAAAAACTTCACAACTCCACAGAAACTGGATCTTTTACACAAATATTTTTTTAATTGTTAAAAGTGTTAGTAACATTGTAATTATGTCAAAAATAGCCCTTGGGGCCAGCATTGTGGCATAACTGGTAAAGCCACTGCCTGCAGTTCTGGCATCCCATATAGGTGCTGATTCAAGTCCTGGCTGCTCCACTTCTGATCTAGCACTCTGCTGTGGCCTGGGAAAGCAGTGGAAGATGGCCCAAGTCCTTGGGCCTGCGCACCCACGTGGGAGACCCAGAAGCTCCTGGCTCCTGATTGGCTCAGCTCTGGCTGCTATGGCCATTTGGGGAGTGAATCAGCAGATGGAAGACCTCTCATTCTCTCTCTGCCTCTGTAACTCTGCCTTAAAAAAAAAAAAAAAAAACTCAACCTTAAAAAAACAAACAGCTCTTGTATTTTACAGATGCATCATTAAATAGTTATTGATAAAATGTTAGGATGACTGAGATTTGCTTCAAAATAAACCAGTCTTTGATGGGGAAGAGGGTTAAAGAAATAAGAATAGTCATGAGTTTATTGTAGGCTTTTGAGACTGGAAAAGTGGGCCTTTGTTCTATTCTATGTTGTACATGTTTGAAATTTAACATTCTTTGTCATCTTAAACTTCAAGGAAGAATTTTTTTTTTTGACAGGCAGAGTTGGGGGGGGGGGGGAAGAAAGGTCTTCCTTTTTCCGTTAGTTCATCCCCCAAGTGGCCGCTACAGCTGGTGTGTTGTGGCTGGCACGCTGCGCCGATCCGAAGCCAGGAGCCAGGTGCTTCCTCCTGGTCTCCCATGTGGGTGCAGGGCCCAAGGACCTCGGCCATCCTCCACATGCACTCCTGGGCCACAGCAGAGAGCTGGACTTGAAGAGGAGCAACCAGGACAGAATCTAGTGCCCCGACTGGGACTAGAACCCAGGGTGCCGGCACCGCAGGCGGAGGATTAACCTAGTGAGCTGCGGCACTGGCCCAAGAAAGAATTTTAACAGAGGGGCTGCTGTTGTGGCATGGTGCAGGTTAAGTCACCCATACTGGAGTGCTAGAATTAAGTCCCACCTCTACTTCCAATCCAGTTTCCTACTGTTGCAACTGGAATGCAGCAGATGATGATCCAAGTACTTGGGTTCATGCCACCCATGTGAGAGAGCCAGGTGGAGTTCTTGGATCCTGGTTTTGGCCTGACCCAGCCCTGGCTGTTGCCAGCATTTGAGGAGTAAACCAGCCATAGAAGGATCTTTTTCTCTCTCATCACTTTGCCTTTCAAATAAATAAATCTTTTTAAAAATGTCCTCATCGGTTGGCACCATAGCTCACTAGGCTAATCCTCCGCCTGCAGTGCTGGCACCCTGGGTTCTAGTCCTGGTTGGGGTGCCGGATTCTGTCCCAGTTTCTCCTCTTCCAGTCCAGCTCTCTGCTCTGGCCCAGCAGGGCAGTGAAGGATGGCCCAAGTGCTTGGGTCCTGCACCTGCATGGGAAACCAGGAAGAAACACCTGGCTCCTGGCTTCGGATCGGCGCAGCGCCGGCCGTAGCAGCCATTTGGGGGGGTGAACCAGCAGAAAAAGGAAGACCTTTCTCTGTCTCTAACTCTGCCTGTCAAAAAAAAAAAAAAAAAAAAGTACAAAAAATGTCCTCATCAATATTAACTTAGTGGGTATTTAATGTTTTAAAAAAATATTTGGTGATTTTATTTATTTTCCTATCAGCATTTTTAAAATTTATTTATTTGAAAATCAGAGCTACACAGAGAGAGAAGGAGAGGCAGAGAGAGAGGTCTTCCATCTGCTGGTTCACTCCCCAGTTGGCCGCAACAGCCAGAGCTGCGCCAATCCTAAGCCAGGAACCAAGAGCTTCTTCCAGGTCTCCCAACAGGTGCAGGGGCCCAAGGACTTGGGCCATCTTGTACTGCTTTCCCAGGCCATAGCAAAGAGCTGGATAGGAAATGGAACAGCTGGGACTCGAACTGGCACCTATATGGGATGCTGGCATTGCAGACGATGGCTTTACCCACTATGTCACAGCACTGGCCCCGGGTATTTAATCTTGAAATTAACCAATTCATCTTTTTTGTTGGCTCACATGTTATTTTAAGTGTGATGTGAACCTATGCTGAATTTTCTATAGGACTGGTAAGTCTAAACGGCATTGCCAAAGCAGAAATCATTACTATTCATAAAAAGCACAGAAACAACACTGTTCCTAGTATGTAAGTTAGATATTCTTTCCTGAAACATTAGTTCCAAAATAAATATTAAACTAATTTTAGCCTACAAGATTATTTGGATTTATCTGAATTACTACAAAATAAGATTTTCCAAGTACAGTGAATCTCGGAATTTTTTTCTACACAGCCTGATAAAAGGTAGTAATTCTGATCACAGGAGTAAGTTGAGGCTGGAGATTTGATGCAGCTGGTTAAGCTGCCATTCCACATCAGAGTGCTGGTTCTTGTCCTGGCTGCTCTGCTTCTGATCCAGCTCACTGCTAATAATGTGCCTGGGAAGTCAGTGGAAGATGGCCTTGCCACCCATGTGGGAGAACCAGATAGAAGTTCTTGGCTTCTAGTTTCAGCCTACCCTAGCACTGACTGCTGCTGCCATTTGGGGAGTAAACCAATGGATAGAACATCTTTCAAATAAATAAAATAAATCATTAAAAAAAAGCCATTAAAAATTGGATTAGGTCCATATTGATTCTTATTTTCAGATGGACAGAGTCATTTAAATCTAATCAGCAATATTCAATGAATCTATGCTGTATGCTAATTCCAAAGTTGAATGCGTAAGGATTCTGCCTTCAAAGCACAATATAGGCTAGCCCCTTTCCAAACCTTAATAAAGCAGAAAATTCTCACAAAATTCTCTAATGATCATGTAACATAAAAATGCTAACGTTTATATCATTATCAAATTTACCTTGTCTGCAATTTTACAGCAGCAGTCCATCCACAAGAAATCTTGAATTAAATCGTCATCTACAACAAAAGATAGCTATGACTTGTCTTTTAAAAATAGAACATTTCCTCTTGAAGAACTGCTACATAAGATTATAAATGAGGCTTAGAAAGCAAACAAAAATGGCTGGACCATTTTAGCATTGTTTAAGGTGTAGTTTCCAGTCCTTTGATATATTTACCACTGCAAGGACTGTACAAAACCTACTGCCTAATTGTTCAGCTTCCCATTTGATTTAACTGAAATACAGCTCAGGAAGGAAATGGAATGATGGAAGTGTCTGGGTTACTGAACATCTAATAGCACTTTGTGAAACAAGTCTTGGGTAACTCTGGCTCTTCTTTCCTTTCCAAAATCAATCTTAACAGGGGGAAATGAAATCTGATAATAATCAGTTTTTAAGAAACAATGACTTAATATTCTGATTCCTAAATGTTTTAAAATGTATTCTAAATATGTTTTTCTATTACTTTCTCCTTAGATTTTAAGGTATTTTTTAGCTTTGAATTCTTCTTTTTTGTCTTATTTACCTAAATTATTCAAATACATATGAAAATATCTACATAAAAACTCATTTAGAATTAACATTTAATTTTGGAAAAAAGCTGAATATTAGAAAAAATATAAATAAACAAAAACACTGTAGAGGGGCTGGTACTGTGGCATACTGGATTAAGCTGCCACTTCAATGATGGCATCCCATATGGGTGCTGGTTCGAGCTCCAGCTGCTCTACTTCCAATCCAGTTCCCTGCTAATGTGCATGGGAAAGCAGCAGTAAATGGCCCAAGTCCCTGGGCCCCTGCTATCCACATGGGAGACTCAGATGAAGCTCTTGGCTCCTGCCTGCCCAAGCTCTGGCTGTTGTAGCCATTTGGGGAGTGAAACAGTGGATGAAGATCTCTTTCTGTTTCTCCTTCTATCTGCAACTTTACCTTTCAAATAAATAAATCTTAAAAAAAAAAAAAGAAACTCATCTTTTCATTTTATTTTTTCTTACATATTAATCAGCTTTAATGTACCTGGCCTTCCTGTAAACAAGGAAGTCTGTTCCCTGGATCTACTAGGCCCTGTAATCTACTTGACTTGATTCATTCCCACAGATACTTATCTAACTACCTTCTTTTCTGCCCCTGCCCCCAATAGATACCTTCTCTTTCTTGGCTAGTAGAAGTGCCATGCAGAAGTTTCTTTTTGTCTAATTGTTATGAAATGTTGTCAGCAAAGTACTGTTGCCTCATGATCTGAACAAGCTCTATTTCATTATATGAACATGCTGATAAGGCACAGTTAAATTTTTAACATTCCCAAAACATGACTCTAAAACTTCTCTAGGAGAGCAACTTTCCCAGTATGCTTGGTTTTAGCAGTCAAAGCCCTGGGATACCCCTCAAGGCCAGTTAAACTGGGTTAGTAGCTCACCTAAGTCTTGTCTTTAGGGCAAATGAAACTCAGGCTATGAACCTGAATTGCCTAGATTTACATTTGACACTTGTATTTAATTCACCTAAAAGGTAGAGGAGTCTGAATTTTTAATTCATAAGCAAGCAAGCAAGCAAAAAACAAAAACACCAACATTAAAAAACTCAGGTAATGGCCGGCGCCACGGCTCACTAGACTAATCCTCCGCCTTGCGGCGCAGGCACACTGGGTTCTAGTCCCGGTCGGGGCGCCGGATTCTGTCCCGGTTGCCCCTCTTCCAGGCCAGCTCTCTGCTGTGGCCAGGGAGTGCAGTGGAGGATGGCCCAAGTGCTTGGGCCCTGCACCCCATGGGAGACCAGGATAAGTACCTGGCTCCTGACATCGGATCAGCGTGCTGCGCCGGCCCCGGCAGCCATTGGAGGGTGAAAAGGAAGACCTTTCTCTGTCTCTCTCTGTCCACTCTGCCTGTCAAAAAATTAAAAAAACTTAGGTAAAACAAAAATTTGGTTGTAGATGGGAAATTTGACCCAGAAATCAGCAATCTCTCTGATCATTTTGGAAATGATAAAATGTTTGCATTCTAGCTTTTAAATGTAATTGCACTGTAAACCTACCAAATAATTTAAAGAAAGCAGTCATTTCCTGACGCCGTATAACTAGGCAAGGACCTTTGGGGCGTTTAGATTTGTTGCTATTATGTGCATTTTTTTCAGATGCTTGCCAACTATCTTTAAAAATAGGACGCTTCAGATTCATGGATTTTTTGGGTTGATGTGATCTACTTGGTCCTGATTTTACATGAATAGTTACAGTAGGTGGTGTCTCACAACACATCTGATTGTGCCTCATATTGGTTTCCCAAGAATCTGTAAAAACAAAACATACAATTAGTTATCACATTCATTTCTATATAAAAACAACTAAATGGATGATACTACCAGAGGTAGTCATATAAAACGTAACTAAACTTGCTATTAAAATGTTATTTGTGGGCCGGCGCCATGGCTCACTTGGTTAATCCTCCGCCTGTGGTGCCAGCATCCCATATGGGCACCAGTTCTAGTCCTGGTTGCTCCTCTTCCGGTCCAGCTCTCTGCTGTGGCCTGGGAAGGGAGTGGAGGATGGCCCAAGTGCTTGGGCGCATGTACCCGTGTGGAAGACCAGGAAGAAGTACCTGGCTCCTGGCTTCGGATCAGCGTAGCTCCGGCCTTAGCGGCCATTTGCGGGGTGAACCAACGGAAGGAAGACCTTTCTCTGTGTCTCTCTCCCTCACTGTCTAACTCTGTCAAATAAATAAAAAAAAAATGTTATTTGTTACAGTGTTAGAAGTTGCTTTTTGAATTCATTACTAGCTATACTTCCTTTACATTTCCTCTGCTCAAATAAGATAGTACATATTATTTTGCCTTGGCTATTAGGGAACCCCAAACAAATGTGAAAGTTAATTTTAGAAATTATATTGAGTTTATCATGTATTTGCGGTGTTTTCTTCCTGATAATTTATATCACATGGTTGTTATATGCCACTTCCAATTTTTATAAAACAAGGAAAACTATTTCCAGAACTAAATTATTATCAATGTCAAGTGCTACATTAAAAAGCAACCTCTTTCCCCCAAAAAACTCCACAAATCTTTGTATTAGTAAATTCTTTGACATATTACAAAATTTATTTAACAAGCATATTTTGGTGTTCATTAAAAAGTTGAAAACAAAGAAATGTATGGTACAGGAAGGATTTTCTTAAGTTGGTATCCCTACTTTTTAAAGTTGTGAATGAGTATATGGCCATGCTATTTGAGTGGCTCTTTATAAATGTATGTGAATATACAGTGTTATAGTATGATAAAATCTGAATCGAAGTTAAACCATCAATACTTAACAATATGCATACTAATTACCTTGTTGGTACTAATTCATAAGCATGATTAGTACAGCTAATACCATTTATGTGGTCAAAGTACTTCTAGGGAAATGGGAGACACAAATAGGCAAAGCAGGAAACTACTCTAAGAACCTAATGAAAACCTATGCATCCATAACTCAGTGGCCCAGCAGCCATGCCTCCCCTCATATTCAGGGAGGTAGGTACACATTCTTCTTCCTGACCCTCAGACCCTTCCCCACTGAAGGAAGGACTGTAAAATAAAATTGGGTGTAGTGAGACTGGAGTATCACTATTCAGTATAACATGAGCCACACTTGTAGCTGTATATATTTTTTAAAAGATTTATTTATTTGAAAGGCAGAGTTACACCGAGAGGGAGAGGGAGAGGGGGAGGGGGAAGAGAAGAAGGGAGAGGGGGAAAGGGGGAGAAGGAGAGGAGGAGAGGGAGGGGGGGAGAGGGAGAAGGAGAGGGGGAGAAGGAGAGGGGGAGGAGGAGATGGGGAGGAGGAGATGGGGAGAGGGGGAGGGAGAGGCCTTCCATCCACTGGTTCACTCCCCAAATGGCCTCAATGGCTGGAGCTGCACCAATCCAAAGCAGGAGCCTGGAGCTTTCTCTGGGTCTCCCACGTGGGTGCAGGGACCCAAGGACTTGGGCCATCTTCCACTGCTTTCCCAGGCTATAGCAGAGAGCTGGATCAGAAGTGGAGCAGCTGGGTTTCGAACTGGTGCCCATATGGGATGCCAGCGCTGCAAGGCAGTAGCTTAACCCACTACTCCACAGTGCCGGCCCCAATAGCTGTATATTTTTTAAAAGCCACATTTTTTTTAAAAGGGAAGCTTTAATATAATTATGCAAAACATACTCAAAATATAATTTAATAATACAATCAACACAGAAATTAGTGAGGTATTTTATACCCTGAGTCTTTGAAACCTGGTGGGTATTTTATATTTATAGCATATTTCAATTCCGAAGCTAGTTTTTTAAAAAAGATTTATTTATTTATTGAAAGGAGAGAGAGAGAGGAGAGGGAGAGACAGAAAAATCTTCCATCCACTGGTTCACTCCCAAAATGGCTGCAACAGCTGGAGCTGGGCTACTATGAAGCCAGGAGCCTGGAGCCAAGAGCTTCTTTCAGGTTTCCCATGTGGGTGGCAGGGGCCCAGGGATTTGAGCCATATTCCACTGCTTCCCCAGGGGCACTAATCGGGAGCTGGATCAGAAGTGGAACATGGGCTGGCGCTATGGCAATAATGGATAAAGCTTGGCCGGCGCCGTGGCTCAATAGGCTAATCCTCCACCTTGCGGCGCCGGCACACCGGGTTCTAGTCCCGGTCGGGGCGCCGGATTCTGTCCCGGTTGCCCCTCTTCCAGGCCAGCTCTCTGCTATGGCCAGGGAGTGCAGTGGAGGATGGCCCAAGTGCTTGGGCCCTGCACCCCATGGGAGACCAGGAAAAGCACCTGGATCCTGGCTCCTGCCATCGGATCAGCACGGTGCGCCGGCTGCAGCGGCGGCCATTGGAGGGTGAACCAACGGCAAAGGAAGACCTTTCTCTCTGTCTCTCTCTCTCTCACTGTCCACTCTGCCTGTCAAAAAAAAAAAAAAAAAATAATGGATAAAGCTGCCACCTACAGTGCTGGCATCCCATAAGGGGCCGGTTCAAGTCCTGGCTGCTCCACTTCCAATCCAGCTCTCTGCTATGGCCTGGGAAAGCAGTACAAGATGGCCCAAGTCCTTGGGACCCTGCACCTGTTGGGAGACCCAGAAGCTCCTGGCTGCTGGCTTCGGATTGGTGCAGCTCTGGTCGTTGGGGCCAACTGGGGAGTGAACCAGCGGATGGAAGACCTCTCTTTCCCTCTTTCCCTCCCTCCCTCCCTCCTTCCCCCCCCCTCTGTGTAACTCTTTCAAATAAATAAATAAATATTAAAAAAAAATGTGGAGCAGCTGGTACTCATCCTGTTAGGGGTGCAGGTGCTGCAGGTGGTGGCTTTACCCACTACCCATAGTGCCGGCCCCTCTGTGGCTAATTTTTCAACAAAGTGAAATGCAGTCCTACCAAGAAAATGAAGTTGTGTAAAGTGGGAAATTGTTTATACTGCACCAGTTCTTAAACTAAATAAAAATTAAATCTTCAGTTGCATCACTCACATTTCAAGTATTTAATAGCCACATGTGGCTAGTAGCTACTGTATTATACAGTGCAGGACTAGATTAGGAAGAAGAAATGATACTTTATCAATTCTACAAATACTTCTCCCATCTTTCTTTCTGGATCCTAAGGTCCAAAGAGAAGGAAATTATGGAGTTGGAGCATGGGTGCTATAAACTCTACGGAAAGATAAGTAAGTGATCAGTTGAGCCTTCAGTTTGTGTGAGAACTTTCTGCTCTGAACAGGTGGAGGCTTCATCTACATCTTTTTTTCCAAATAAGAGCAGACTTATATCTAGATGGAAAAAATTAGGCTTCTCAAATTGGGTCGTTGGGCTAGGCAATATACCAGAACACAGAACAACTGTGGCACATCTTCTAGGACTAAATTTTACTGAATGGTAAGCAACTTTAATTAGTATTTTAATATTTTAAAAAATGGGTATGTCATGAGATGAAATGAAATTTTCCTACCAAATGGACAAAATATTATGCTCACAGTAGGTCTCTTTATTCCACTAAACCCTAATGTTCATTTTAGGGTATATCATAAGAGATTTGAAACAAATTAAAAGAACATAAAATGTCTGAAAATCTCCAGAGATTCACTTAAGTTAATCAGCAAACTTTGGCAGGAAGGCTGTAGAGAAGAAGCTCAAGGAGAGAAGTGATCAATGCTACAGTTTTGGTCATATTCCACCTTGAAGTAGCTTTTAATTTTGTTCTTTGTTTAGATAAACTAACTGAACAAGAGTTCTGATGGCAGGCAGAAGGAAAGGAATGAAAGAAAAATTAAAATATGGGTCATTTCAGACAGGGTAAGAGACAGGGAAAGGGAGTGAAGTAGGAGAAACTGAACTGATAATGGTAAAATCCTTTACTGGATTTTTACCTGGAATCATCAACATTCAAAACAACCAAGCTGGGGTTGTCATGGTGCAATGGGTTAAGACACCACCTGTGGTGCCAGCATCCCTTAAGTGTGACAGTTGAGTCCCTGCTGCTCCCCTTCTGATCACTGCTAATGTGCCGGGAAAGCCCAAGTACTTGGGCCCCTGCCACCCACGTGGGAAACCCAGAATTCCAGGCTCCTGGCTTCAGCCTAGCCCAGCCCCAGCCAGCTTTTGTGGCCATTTGGGGAGTGAACCAGTAAATGGAAAATCTCTTTGTTTCTCCCTCTCTTTCTGTATCTCTGCCTTTCAAAAAAGTAATTTTTTCAATCAAGCCAAAACTCACACTTTAACAGGATATCTAGGAATAATTTGTATTTATTTATTTATTTTTAGTAATTACACCATATTAATTCTCTGCATATTTGAAATAATTTCTCTCTGAGGTAAAGTAAACGGTAATGCTTCACAGAATCACAAAACTGAAGCAAAAGTAATCTGGAGATTCATTTGCCTATACTAAAAACCTAACAGCAAAGCCAGCATTGTGGAGTAAAAGGTAAAGCATCCTCTTGGGATGCCAGCATCCTACATGGGCACTAGTGTGTGTTTCAGCTGCTCCAATTCTGTTCCAGCTCTCTGCTAATGGCCTAGGAAAGGCAGTAGAAAATGGCCCACCATGTTTGGGTCCCTGCCACCCATGTTGGAGACCTGGATGAACCTCCCGGCTTTGGCATCCCCCAGCTCTGGCTGTTGTGGCCATCTAGGAAATGAACCAGCAGATGGAAGTGCTCTCTCTCTCTCGTGCTCTCCTCTAACTCTTTCAAAATATATAAATCCTTAAATAATGATAATAATAAAATCCTAACAGCAATATTCATTGGCAACTCAGCCTTCTTTATAATTGCCATCACATACTGAACACTTACTATGAGCCAATGTAATAACACTATGTGCCACATTTTACATGCATTATCTCATTAACTTCAAGATGAATGAGTTATTTTATTCTTACTTTATAGATAACAAATTGAGGCTTAGAGAAGAAATTTGCTCATAGCCACAAAATTAGTAAATGATAAAGCTAACATTTGAATTCCAGGACTATTTCATAACAAAGTTCCATAATCTTTAACCACTAAAGAATTGTTTTAAATATTAAATGAAATCATGTGTAAAATACTTGCCACATAATAAATACTTCAATATTACTTATTGTAACCTTGTCAGGAAAAGAAACCCAGCTATAAATCTCTTTATATAAATTTAATTCTATCATTTGTAATGTAAATATGCTTGATAAACTGTGACTTGATGGCTTAAAGAAGCATTGCTATAGAGAAGAAAGTTTATTACCTTTTTGCTAAAATGAAGTAACTCTTAAAAAGGAATCCTTATTGGGGCCGGTGTTGTGGCGTAGTAGGTAAGCCACTGCCTGCAATTCCGGCATCCCATAGGAGCACCAGTTCGAGGCCGGGCTGCTCCACTTCTGATCCAGCTCCCTAATGTCCTTGGGAGAGCAGAAGAAGATGGCCGAAGTCCTTGGGGCCCTGCCACCCACATGGGAGGCTGAGATGAAGTTTCAGGCTCCTGGCTTTGGCCTGGCCCAGCCCCCAGCCATTGTAGCCATTTGGGGAGTGAACCAACAGATGAAAGCTCTCTTTCCCTCCTCCCTACAAGTCTGCCTTTCAAATAAATAAATAAATCTTCCAAAAAAAACTTTATTGAAATGACTACCGCCATTTCTACCATAACCTGCACATCTAACTACTGAAAAACAACACAGCAAATTGGAAAAGTATTCTGGCAAAACTGCTAGAAGCTTTGCTTGGGTTATTATCGAATCCCCACAATTTTGAGGTTTTAAAGATCTTTTCCAAAAATGTAATTTCATATAATGGCTACAAAAAAACTTATTAGAAAGGCAGAGTTAGAAAGAGTGAGAAAGATTCTGCATCTGCTGTCTCTCCCAAATGGCTGCAACAGGAAGCCAGCCAGGAGCCTGGAATTCCATCTGTGCCTCCTACATGGGTGGAGGGGCCCAAGCACTTGGGCGATCTTGCCCTGTTCTCCCAGGCACGTTAGCAGGGAGCTGGATGGGGAGAGCAGCAGCACGGCCTGGTGCTCATACGGTATGCCCATACGGTTGCCCGTGTTGCAGGCGGCGGCTTAATGCTTTTGATCTGGCCAAATGCTAGGCGAGCGTGCATGGCTGTTCGATACGTTCAAATCGGATTAGAAATCTCATCCATTCGTGCGTAAGCGCGTCATATATAATACACTTCCTTGAAGTGGTAGGAATCAAAGGAAACCAAATGAAAATATCAAATTATGTGCTAGAAAATGGGGAGGAGGTGTGAACAAAACCATCCCTGCCGCCACCCTGGGTCTGCATTAGCCAGGTGGGAACGGAACCCGGGAGCTCCAGCATGAGACGTCGGCACCTTCCCCGCCGTCCAAACTTCCACCACCCGTGGACCCTTAACGCGGCAGCTAGTAGAAGAAAGAAAACCAACAGCAGGCAGAGGCTCCGGGGGGCGGCCCCGGGGGCTGCGAGGGGAGGGCTCTCGCGCTTTGAGAAGCAGGCCCGGGCCCGGCCCCGAGACGCCGGCGCGGACGCCCCCGGGACCACCGCCCCGCTCCGGCAGTCGGGGCCCCCGGGGCGCTCACGGCCTCGGGAGCTGGCCGCGCCCCGTCCCCGACCCCTCCCGCGTCGCCCCACAGCCCGCGCCTTCGCCCCCGGGCGCCGGAGTGTGCGTGCTCGTTACCGCGAAGGCATCTGAGGGGATTCGCGAGGGGAAGCGCGCGGGGCGGGGCTGTGGCGTCGGCAAGGGGCAGGGACGCCGCCACCTGCTCACACGAATGGGCCGCGGGGTGGCAGCCGGAGGGAGCGGAGGGGCCGGGTGCAACCGGAGACTGGCACGCGAGGCCCGACCCCGGCTGCGGGCGAAGGTACCTACAAGCACCCAGGACTGCGTGAAAATCCCCGCAGCCGTCAGCCTCTACCACAGCGTTCCGGGCCTCAGACGGTTGCTCTCTGGGGCCGCGCCCACAACACCTCCTATTCGAACCCTCGCGCCCGGCCTTGAGACCAATCAACGAGCAGAGCCGGCCTCTGGGGGCGGGACTTCCGGGCCCCGCGCACTGGCACGGGGCCGCGGTTGGCAAGAGGCCTCCTACGGTTACACGGCGAGATTTCTCGAGCTACAAAGCGCAGGCAAAGCTCACACGAGCTGCCTCAGTTGACCTCTTCCCCTTGGACGCTTCACACCGCCAGTCCTGCGTGGAGCATTTGACTTTTCCTCTAGTGAGGCCGCAGGCCTGTCCTCAGCCTGATCCCGCAGTACCGGCCGGCGCCCCGCACGCACGCGCGGTGACCGAGGCGGGAGTCGGAACCGGCCTTTGGCGCGGTGGTTGTCCTGTCCGTGAAGTCGCAGAGTTAGGGCTCTCTATACTAAAGGCGAGAGCGTGAAGGCCGCGCTGTTGTGAGGGGATCCGTTGTAACGGTTATTCTAAGCCGGCATCTTTGTGGTTTCATCCGAGCCCTCGGCCAGGTGCCTGGGATGCAGTAGGTGCTTCCTCAGTGAATAAAAAGGGTTCTCTACAGGTTTTAAATTCTTGTCTTGATAGCCCTTCCTCTTCACATTCCTTCTACCTGATGTGTAATTTTGTTGCTGCCAATACATTGCTAGTGTTTGTAATTTGAAAGGTAGAGGGAGAAACCGACATCCGGTCCGGTCCCCAAGTGCCTCCCAAGCCACTACATCCGGGTCTTCCTAGCGGGTGGTAGGGGCCCAGAGAACTTGGGCCATCTTTGGCTGCTTTCCCAGGTGCACTAGCAAGGCTCTGGATCAGAAATGGAGCAGCCGGGACTCCAACCTGCGCTCCCATGGGATACTGGCCACAATGCTGGCCCCTGAAATCATCTTTAATAACTTGCATACTATTCCAGAGTGGTTGGGCCACTTTTAAATCATTTTGTTATTTGGGTTGCTTCCAGATTTTTCAGCTACAACGATTGCCCTTAAAAACAAGTTGGCTTTGCCTGTTTGTGTGGCTACTTCCCCACAAGTTCCTCCATCATCCTGATAACAAACATATCAATTCCCTTCTTTCTGGGACTCCTATGCAGCAAGATGGCAAAATCGTGTCAGGAAATGAGGGCCACCTAATAACTAACTTTTCTTTATGGATGTCTCTGACATCTTCTCAACTCTTTTTTTATTTTTTTTTATTTTTTTTTTTATTTTTATTTTTGACAGGCAGAGTGGACAGTGAGAGAGAGAGACAGAGAGAAAGGTCTTCCTTTTGCAGTTGGTTCACCCTCCAATGGCCGCCGCGCTGCGGCCGGCGCACCGCGCTGATCCGATGGCAGGAGCCAGGAGCCAGGTGCTTTTCCTGGTCTCCCATGGGGTGCAGGGCCCAAGCACCTGGGCCATCCTCCACTGCACTCCCTAGCCACAGCAGAGGGCTGGCCTGGAAGAGGGGCAACCGGGACAGAATCCGGCGCCCCGACCGGGACTAGAACCCGGTGTGCCGGCGCCGCTAGGCGGAGGATTAGCCTAGTGAGCCGCGGCGCCGGCCTTCTTCTCAACTCTTAAGAGGCACCAACTGGTTATGAAAATCTTCAGGAAAATGCTTCAAGCTTCAACCCCGTGTTTTCCTGAGGATTCTTCCCTGCTTTGCCTGGTCTCTTGCAAAGCATCAGGGACTCCTGTGATCACTGATTCCTAGCCTTGACTATGAGATACTTACCGAACAATGAATGTATACTGTATGAACAGTTGTTATACTATAGGAGGCAGAGAGGGCCAGTGTTGTGGCTTAATGGGTTAAGCCACGCCCTGCGGTGCTGGCATCCCATATGGGCGCCAGTTCAAGTCCTGGCTGCTCCACTTCCAATCCAGCTCTCTGCTTATGTGCCTGGAAAAGCAGCATTAGATGGCCCAGACTCCTGGGCCCCCGCCACCCACAAGAGACCTCGAAGAAGCTCCTGGCTCCTAGCTTTGGCCTGGCCCAGTTTTGGCCATTGTGGCCATTTGGGGAGTGAACCAGTGGATGGAAGACCTCTAACTCTTTCAAATAAATCAATCTCAGAAGAAAAAAGGGAGGCAGAGAAAGCAGCACAATGAATACACCATGGCACCACCCTCATAGAACTTCCAGGCAGACACACACACTACTAGAACACGAGGCACAATGAGTTGTGCATGAGGGAGACACATTTTCACCAGAAATTACGGGATTAGGTAAAAGTTAAACAGTGAAAAGGGGGGAAAGCCGAGGATGGCCGTGTGTAAGATGGAGAAGGTGGAGGAGGAGCCCCTTCCAGCTCTGGGTTCTATGATGAGATGGAGGGAAGATGTTGTTGCCTTGCCAGAGTGGCAGAAACAAACCACTAAGCTCCAAGTCCTCTGAAGGCAGGGGTCAGGACTGTCTTAATCACTCTTGTGTAATCAGCACCTAATTACTTGCTTAACAGGAAACATCTGTTGAAAAAATGACTGGGGGAGAGGGGAAGATTTTGCTACATAGCAGTCAGTGATCGAGGGCAAGAAGGAAGCAAACTAGAATCCGAGGAAGGGGGGTACCGATGGTGATGGGAAGGAGATAGCATCTCTGTCAGACTGAACTGTTACAGTGTCAACACCTTTAGCTTAGTACAATCAAGCCTGGGTTGCAAGGCTACAGTAGTACAGAGAAGGGCCAAGGCTCACCAGCAGTACAACAGGGTGAATAAGGCCCAAGATGTCACTGCAGCACACCAAATCCATGCGAGCATTTCCTCTGATGAGAGGCCCAAGTCCTCTAACTCCAGTCTTCATACTGGAACCTAGCACCTTCACAGACCTTCTCCGGGAACCACTGCTGGCTCCCCTGGGTCTCCGCAGCTTTCACCACTCCTGTAAATCCCACTGGACCTGCCTTAAGCTCACTGGAAACCCTTTACAGCCAGCGGGAAAGCTTAGCAGCAGCAGGTACTTGGCCATCTTGATGGGGCCCCAGGACCAGGGAGCAGCAGAAAACAGGAAAGCCCTGCAGGTGGCTCTGGGAATGCCCACCAGGCTGGGAAAGGCAGCCAATGGGAACCCAGGCAGCGGGGCTGTTTCCCCCAGCACAGTGATGAGCGGAGCCTGCTGCTTGTATATACTGCAAATGGAGTAGCTGGAAAGTACTCCTTAGGATCCTCAAATCGTCACAAGTGAATCTGTGTTAAGTAGAATCTGCATATAAAGTCAGTAGATAGGCATGTACGTTAATGGTCTTGGGGAAGTAGCATATTGCCTACATCTTGGTTTCAAATTAAAGATTACTACCAGCAGGACCTCATCAGTGTTCTCATTACTGATTCCCTCCACCCCCACCCCTTGTTGGTGTGTGAAATGAAGACACTTTATGATCACTCACCTGGTTTGAATTCAGACACCACCATTTTATTAGCTATCATATGGGGGCAAATTACTTTGCCTTGTAAAGGCATGTGTAGAAGCAGCTGAACAC